GCGTACACCATTTATCCTTGAAAGTTATGAATGTTACTTCATACCTGCAGGGGCACCCTCTGCATCACCTTCACTGAGGAAACATTCAAGGCACGTGCCCAATGAGTCGAGCTCACACGCAGTGCACACTGCATGTGAATTGCACGTTGGTTCATCTAAAACGGATGAATACACCAAATAATACCCATCAAATTTGACTTACAAGGACAGACCACAAACAACTTTGCATCCAACACTGAAGTACCTTGGTGGGCAACGAATGAAAGGAATGTGTCACCGAAACCGCTGGCACAATTTGGTGACGGAGAGGGCGCGTGTCTCTGGGCTGAGGGCACATCTAGGGCAACGTTGAAGCAAACAGGGACTCTCAGCGAGTGGATTAGAAAGGTGCAACAGTGATAGTCTTTTGCATGGAAGACCGAAGTACCTGGGTCGGTGCCGAGTGAAGGTACTGTGCAACCAAAATTGCTGGCACTGTCAATGCTTAGTGCTGCTGAAGAAACTAGTAGAAGATCCTGGGCTGCGGTGAGATCTAGATTAATGTTGAAGCAAAATGTGGGCCGTCAGCGAGTGGACTGGAAATGTGTAACACTAATAGCATATGCATGGAACAATAAAGTACCTGGGTCGGCACCGTGCAAAGCAACAGTTGCAGTAATACTGCTGGCACAATCCTGTGACTGACACGGCGCAAGCCCTTGGGCTGCGGGCAGATCTAGGGCAACATTGAAGCGAACAGGGACTGTCAGCGAGTGGACTGGAACGGTGTGACACTGATAGCATTTGCATGGAACACTAAAGTACCTGGATCGGCACCGTGCAAAGCGACGGTTGCAGTAATACTGCTGGCACAATCCCGTGACTGACAGGGCGCGAGTCCTTGGGCTGCGGGCAGATCTAGGGCAACGTTGAAGTGAACAGGGACCGTCAGCGAGTGGACTGGAACGGTGTAACACTGATAGCATTTGCATGGAACACTGAAGCACCTGGATTGGCACCGTGCAAAGCGACGGTTGCAGTAATACTGCTGGCACAATCCTGTGACTGACACGGCGCAAGCCCTTGGGCTGCGGGCAGATCTAGGGCAACATTGAAGCGAACAGGGACCGTCAGCGAGTGGACTGGAACGGTGTAACACTGATAGCATTTGCATGGAACACTAAAGTACCTGGATCGGCACCGTGCAAAGCGACGGTTGCAGTAATACTGCTGGCACAATCCCGCGACTGGGAGGGCACGAGTCCTTGGGCTGCGGGCAGATATAGGGCAACGTTGAAGCGAACAGGGACTGTCAGCGAGTTGATTGGAACGGTTTAACACTGATAACATTTGCATGGAGCATTGAAGTACCTGGATGGGCATCATACGTAGGGATGCTGTCACCATAGCAGCTCGTACCACTGGCACTATCATAATCTAGTGCAAGGGAAAGCAGGAGAAGACCCTGGGCTGCAGTCAGACCTAGGTCAATGTTGAAGCGAACATGGCTCATGAGTGAATTGATTGAAAAGGTGTTACTGACAGCCTTTGCATGGAACTTCAAACTACCTGGGTGGTCACTGTGAGAAGTCGCGTTAGCACCGAAGAGGCTCGCGCCAGTGTCACTGGGACAATCCAGTGCAGGAGGACATGCAAGCCCCTGGGCTGCCGGCAGATCTATATAAACATTGACAAGGTAAACACGGGTGATCAGAAAATCGAACTGAAAAGGTGGATCACTGATTAGTGTGGCCTCACACCCTTTACAGTACCTGAGTGGACACCATCTGTTACGGTGCACTCCCAGATGTCGGTAGAAGCTCCAGCTGGCTGACTGGGACCTAGAAGCGAGCAATGAAGTTAGAAAGTGAGTGGTTAGCCGATGAGGTTGCAGGCAGATCTAGGGCAACGTTGAAGTGAACAGGGACCGTCAGCGAGAGGATTGGAACGGTGTAGCACTGAAAGCATTTGCAAGGAAAACTGAAGTACCTGGGTTGGCACCGTGCAAAGGGACGGTTGCAGTAATACTGCCGGCACAATCCCGCGACTGACAGGGCGCGAGTCCTTGGGCTACGGGCAGATCTAGGGCAACGTTGAAGCGAACAGGGACTGTCGGCGAGTGGATTGGAACGGTTTAACACTGATAACATTTGCATGGAGCATTGAAGTACCTGGATGGGCATCATACGTAGGGATGCTGTCACCATAGTGGCTCGTACCACTGGCACTATCATAATCTAGTGCAAGGGAAAGCAGGAGAAGACCCTGGGCTGCAGTCAGACCTAGGTCAATGTTGAAGCGAACATGGCTTATGAGTGAATTGATTGAAAAGGTGTCACTGACAGCCTTTGCATGGAACTTCAAACTACCTGGGTGGTCACTGTGAGAAGTCGCGTTTGCACCGAAGAGGCTCGCGCCAGTGTCACTGCTACAATCCAGTACAGGAGGACATGCAAGCACCTGGGCTGCCGGCAGATCTATATAAACATTGACAAGGTAAACACGGGTGATCAGAAAATCGACCTGAAAAGGTGGATCACTGATTAGTGTGGCCTCACACCCTTTACAGTACCTGAGTGGACACCATCTGTTACGGTGCACTCCCGGATGTCCGTAGAAGCTCCAGATGGCTGACTGGGACCTAGAAGTGAGCAATGAAGTTAGAAAGTGAGTGGTTAGCCGATGAGGTCCATCACTTTTACACTGCTTTTCTGTTTGCCACAGTCTGCCGTGCACAGACACAGGAAAAGACAGGAATTCTTAAAACTTCAATATAGACACCGTAAACGCGAATAGTTATCGCCCAATAGTACAAAATACATAACTGCCCCTGGCAAAATCTGTACCCACAAAATGTCAAAACACATACTGCGCAAAAAAAACGGAGCCCGCAGAAATAGCGCTCGCTAACGAAGCTTTGACAGAGAACGACCTCAAACGTCTCGCGAATTGCACGACACCGCACAAACAAGCCACCGGTTCTTTTTCGTTCGGAACAGTTCAATTCTGACCGCATATTTACCACCAATGTCATGTTCAAGTCGAAATTAGAAAAAACCAGCGACCGCATGTTCGTGCCACGATACCAGCTCTGTCGCAATTCTGCGCCGAAAACGCGGAATGTCTACGCCCTATCCTTATTTGAAGAAGGTCAAAATGGCTCGGGAATTCGCGAAGGCTACCCTGATCACAGCAAAGGATTAGGAAGACCTCATAGGAGGCAGAAATAGTTAAATATTTGAAGGTAGAGAGAGACTGACAAGGGCAACTTACCGGCACGATTGGTCGGCGCTTTTCTGTGGCTCCTAGAAGTCGGCGTTCCTTTGAGCAGCAAGGTTGGACAAGCACCCTTTTTTAACTGAGGCCTGTTTGTCCTTTCTACCTCGTGATCTTCAAAATGTCTCGAGCAGACGACGGCGGAATCTGAAGGTTTCCAGTTAGCCCTATTTATAAGACGGATCCACTTTTTCCGGAGCTTGGCGTCTCTAGGAAATTTGAAAAACGACAAGCCGTCGTACATGCACCCAGTGCATCCAAAGACGCAACACGTCTTCATTGCCTCCTGTGAGGGAGGTCAAGGGGTACAAAACTACTCGATCCTGGCAGTCCAGCAATTATCACTAACCTGCAGTAAACAAAGAACCAACGCGAAGAACTCACGGACGACGCTACGGCACGGCCGCCATTACCGACGCCGATGTTTGTTTACCCCCCGGCCTCCCGCGACATGTGCGAGGGCGGAGCTTAGTAAGAATCGTCATCAACCTCCTCTCCCGCCTTCGCGCCTCCTTTCCCATGCGCAGAACACGAAAATGAGCCCACTTGCGAGGCGTATTACCGCGCGCATTTTGTTTGTTTTCTTGCGCTCTCCTGATAGCACTCCCTCTCCCCTTTTTAAAAAAGGAAAGGAGAGGGGAGGGTGTAATGGTGCACCTGGCAACACCCTCGCCTCGCCCGCCGATTCCTTTGGGAGAGGAGGATTCGTGTGACGGGAGTGCGATTACGCTCGCCGGGTGTCTCCAGTCGAAGGGAGGTGTAAGGGTGCGCGATACACCCACATACACCCTTTTTTTCTGAGAGTGCACCGCTGACTATCAACTAAGACTTGATAGTTCTTCATCACTTTGACCTAAAGTAATGCCAATAAATCACCCTAAATCCTTACATTAGACTACTAAATTAAAACACTAAGTTAAAATTAAAATAAAATAAAATAATTAAATTAAATTAATAAATCTGGTCACTAACACCTCCTAAAGCCCCTTGATAAAAGCGTTTTCTACAAGTACCGCCAACCATTGTTGTGGAAGCGCGCGAGACACGTGCCATGAGCGGGAACTCCGCCGCCATTCACTTCCAATTCCCGCTCATTTCAGTGCTGCGCCGCCATTTGCTTCCAAGGGCCGCTCGAGACATGGGCCTCGTGCACTCGCGCATTTGACGCTACTTGCAAGACAAGCTCAAACACATCGAGGGGCTTTAACACCTCCATGACCCTACCCACACACCACCGCCGACACATTAGTGACAGAGTCAGGGAGCACGCGGCGTCGGTGCAGGGCACGCGGGGCTGGGTACCTTGCAGCCCATTGCCGCACGTGCGGGTGCAGGCCAGGTTTTAGCAGCGTTTTCATTGTTAAAAGACACAGAAATGCCTTTGCGCGCGAGATTCTCGAGGCCCTGGCCATTGAGGAAAGCGCCGATGACTGCGTCAGCATGCCCTCCATCACGGTCAGCAAGAAAGAAAGGCAGTTTTTGCAGTGTGGAAGGGCCCGTGAAAGGGAATAAGAGGGATATGTGTCGGGGCGGTGGTTTGTGGGTTGGGTCAGGGAGGTGTTAGTGAGCAAATTTATTATTTTAACCTCTTCTAGCCGGTTGTCGCGAATTCGCGACATACCGGTTGCATGCCTCAAAACCGAAACTGAAACCTCTGAGGCGCAATCGTCACGCATGGGGATCATCATCGAAAAGTTTGCGAGCTAGGAAAAAAGTGGCGCCATCTGTGATTCAGTCAACGAAGCACTACGAGCAGCTCTTCCAGCAAGGTGCAACGCCGAATGAGGTACAGCCGCAGCAATCCGTCTGCATCGTTCTACAGTTGCAATAGGCAAGTATTTCAACTTCATAAAATATCAGATGACGGACAAAGCTATGAAGAATGGATGCTATTTCTTGAAGGGGATCGTTTCTGAAATATAAAATTGGCATTTGAAGCAAATCATGCTTTGTCGCGTTTTCGCATCATTCGGTCGTTAGGTCCCCTGCAATGCGCCACCTTTCAGTATTTTCGTTTCACGTTGTAAGCCGCGAAATATCTTCCTCTTTTAGTAATGAGTGACTGTTTTTACTTCAAGATGGACCCGAAGGCTTTCTATGGAGTCCGGGTGCCTCCTGCTGAGGAAAGTGAGGACATCTGCCTTAGCGACAGCGACACTGATGAATACAGCCCAAGCACGTATTCCGCCCTTCCAACCGAGGAGTCCGACAGCGGAACAGGTGAGCAATTGTGATGACTAGACAGTGTTTTTATTGCAAAAAATTGCATTCGAAATCGATAGAAGCGCCTGTTCACTAAAAGTATTTCTTTTCTCGCGCTCCTGTGCAGACGTTGATGAAGATGAAAGCAACGAGCCTTCCGAGCCTTCATCATCAATGCCGAGAAGTGTGCTCTGGAAGCGAGTCAGCGAGCCACGATCTTGCGATCCGTCCTGGGGAGATTCGCTGCCAGATCACCCCGCTGAAACCAAAACGCCGTTTGGATATTTTCGCTACTTTTTTGACGACAGTGTTTTGAGCCTCATTACTGAGCAGTCAACTCTCTATGCAGTTCAGAAGAATGCAAACAAGCCGTTGTGCCTGTCGTGTCTCGAGCTTGAGCAGTTTTTGGGGATAACAATGTATATGTCGATCTACAGCCTGCCAAGGTCCCGGATGCACTGGAGCCATTGTACAAGAGTGGAGAAAGTCGCACAGGTCATGCCCCGTGACAGGCGGTAGAACATAAAAAATAACCTCCACCTGAATGACAATGACCTCTTGTCTCAAAACAATGGAAAAGACAAGCTCTTCAAGATCCGGCCGTTAATTGACATGCTTCTGCCCAAGTTCCAAGGACTACCGAAAACCCAGAAACTGGTAATCGACGAACAAATGGTCCCATTCAAAGGCAGATCATCGCTGAAACAGTACCTCCCCAGCAAGCCCCATAAGTGGGGCTACAAAATTTTTGTCCTTTGTGATATCCATCGGATGGTCCATGATTTCTCCATCTATACTGGGCAAATCCTCCCCGTTCCTGGATGGCCGGATCTCGGCGCAAGTTCAAACATAGTGCTTCAGCTCTCTCAGACCATTCCAGTTGACAAGACGTACTTTCTGTTTTTCGACAACTGGTTTACGTCCGTGAAGCTTCTGGTCGAGCTGCACCACCGAGGCATTTCTGCTATGGGGACTATCCGTGGCAATAGGATTCCTGGTTGTAGACTGCCAAGCGACAGCGAGATGAAGAAGAACGGGAGAGGGAGTCACGAGGAAAGGCAGGCTACCTTTCAAGATGTAGACGTCAGAGTTGTCAAGTGGTATGGCAGCCGCCGAGTCACAATCGCGAGCACGTTAGGAAGCGCAGAGCCACTGGGACATTGCAAGCGTTACGACCGCAAGCGAAAGGAGACATGTGATGTGCCGCAACCAGCTATTGTGAAGACGTACAACTCATTTATGGGTGGTGTGGACCTGCTGGATGGTCTGATGGCATACTACAAAATTTTTCTAAAATCGAAAAAATTCTACCTCCGATTTTTTTTCCACTTCGTGGACATGGCTCTAGTCAGCAGCTGGCTGATGTACCGGAGAGACTACGACGCCCTGGCTGTTCCAAAAAAAAGAGCAGCTAGACCTGCTAATGTTCAAGGCATCTGTAGCAAGCTGCCTGTGCGAGCAAAACAAAGACCTGTCAAGAAAAAGAGGGCGACCATCTCTCTCTGTGGATGCTGAGATTGAGAAAAAAAAGAAAAGAGGGCAAGTAGCCACAACACCGCACCGAGAAGTTCGTCAAGATAGTGTGGGACACTGGCCTGAGGTGGCACAGAAAAGGCAGCGCTGCAAGATGCCAGGTTGCACAGGTCAACCGGTTTCCTTCTGTACAAAGTGCAAAACGCACCTTTGCATCAGCAAGAAGTCAAACTGCTTCATCTCTTTCCACAAGAATTGAAGTAGTGAGTGCTGCTGCTCGAAAGCACGGGCAATAAAAATGTCTAAAAAAACAATTTTTTTGCCACTTGTGACCTGTTGTCGCTTTTTCGCGACGTAGGTACAAATCCATTTCTATTGCAGCAATTTCACTAAAACATTTTTTATGTCTTTCTGGCACACTAACTAGGAGATTCAGGTGCAGTTTGATTTTTTTCACGCGGTACGCTAAATTCAGGCCAGAAGAGGTTAATGTAATTTAATTTTTTATTTTTATTTTAATTTAGTGTTTTAATTTAGTAGTGTAATGAAGGGATTTAGGGTGATTTATTGGCATTACTTTAGGTCAAAGTGATGAAGAAGAAGTATAAAATCTTAAGGCCCGTTCACACGATGCATTTTTCTCGCGCATCTATAGTTCGTTTCAGCTTCGGTCCAGACGCAGCCGATGCTACAAGCGCGAGCATGTGGCCCAGAACAGTGCTTGCACTGCACGATCGCGCGTGCTTGGCAGGGATGCTGAAAGCCCGGAGCTCGCGCTTGTAGCTTTGGCTGCGTCTGGACCGAAGCTGAAACGAAGTATAGTGTCACGAAACGTAGTTTCGCGAAATGGTTGTGCCGTCTGAACGAGTCCGAAAAGGACGCGCGCATCTAAAACACGTTGCGCGCACACCTCGCTTCTGGAGCGAGCTTTTGCTGAAACTTTGCCGAGTCCTGTCAATCACTCTGAGGGCGCCGCCAATGGCCGCTCAGAAACGCTCTCACGTGGCCTTTGAGGGGGAGCGAGCTGTTTGAGAAGGCCACTTCACTGCCGGTGTTGTAGCCGAGTCAAATCCGAAAAACACCGAAACCACGAACGACGGATACTGCCGGCGCTTCCGCATGCACGTCAAGCACAACTGAAGGAAAACTGAGTAGCATATCCGAAAAAAATCCAGCGATGGACGCAAGGCCAAGATTCCGAGACATTCGGGCTAGTTTCAAAACTTCCCACCACGCGGCGCTCAAAGACCAACCTGCAGAATATTTTTCAACCAGAAAAAAGTTCCCCTCGCCACACTTTCCATTTTCTCCTCTCCCACAGTTGACTTGACGGCGGGGAGACTCCTTTTGTTGCTGCATCTCGGGGCCAGATAAGCCAAGATAAGCGCATAATGGGCGATTTGCGGCGGGAGGCACAGCGACCCCTTTCCTCCGGCGGTACCAGAGAAGCGCCCGAAACCGAACTCTCCTTTCTGCAGCATTTCAGAGCCTAGCCTCTCGGTTCTGTCTCTGAATTTTTGTTTTGTTTTGCGATAAGCATGCTTGGCTACTCCGAGCATTTGACTGCTTCTGCCGTCCATGTAAAGTGACCCAAGGCCATGTGAGGATGGGCATAGGCTAAGGGCCATCGTCCAAGAACCCTAGAGTTCGAAGGAACTACCGCATTTTCCGGACTATAGCCCGGGCCCGGTGCATAGTCCGCAGAGAAATATTTTGCGTCAAAAATAAAAGTGCTTGCTTAGATAGTCCGCACCCGGTACACAAACGGCACCCAGTGCAAAGCCCGCACTTAGCACCTAGTCCGAACGTAAAAAGTATCATACTCAGCAGACCTTGACAAACGCCTACTGTATTAGCTCACGGTGAAGCTTTATCGTACGTAAATCAACATTAGTATAGTCCGTTACTCATAAAATCCTTCACGATTGTCATAGTGAAGGATCTAGAAAAATTATATCATTGTATTGTCCGCACCTGTAGATAGTCCGCATCGGGTGAATTTTCAACTTTTAAACTTATATAGTCCGGAAAATACGGTACTACAGAGTGTATTGTGACCCTGGGTACTTGAAGAGGAAGTGGCGAGCCTTACAAAAAGTGTTTACGGGACAGGAATTCATGCCAGCGTGCGTACTCTAACATGTCCGGTGCTTTTACCCCAACCCACCTGGTGTTGCCTAAATGGGACACACGTTGAAATAAACAGTGCTGGGGGCTGTCAGACCGTTGTTTTTGTTCTGAAATTTGACCGAAACTCCAAATATTGAGATCTGCAAAAATCCATAATACAAAGCAGAGCCTTTTTTTTCGGTTCCTTGCATTTTTATATTGCGTTTTGAGATCCTACTAGTGACCAGTGCCGCGTTTAGACGTCATATTGCACGTGGCCACACCGGTGACTAGAACTCCACCTTTCCGTAAACAAAAGTTTAAAGTACAAGTTCACCCGTCAAATTTTGGGAGTGTAATTACAATATTGCGTTAATTTTTCTCAACTCATTATCTCTTCTCGAAATGGTTAATCACTTTAGTACAGTCGCCCTCTTGAGATTTCTAGGCGAGAGATGGCAAAAGCATTTTCCAAAACTAACTGTTTTACATTACCGATTCCTTTCTTAAAATTCACTAAAATTTAATTATATCACATTACAAATTACTGATTACTAAAACTATGGGCATTCTCTTCGTATTACATTTAATTTTTGCAGGTAGAGTTTGCTTGTCGATAATGAAACATCAGTCTGCTGTTGCAAACAGTGCAATGTAGGCGATATATTACTGTCATGCCGCAACCTTGTTCAGGAAGCCGCCGATGACAACGAGGTTTTACGATGCGCTAGTAACTCCAAAGTATCTGAATCAGTGGTGTCGCCATGCTGTACTACAGCGCAACATATGAGATGAGACCATAACCGTGCTCTCGCAAGCTCGTTTTTAATAAAAAAAGAAGATAATATTTTTTTCTTTAATTCTCTACTTGTGCTTGTAAGTTGCAACACAGCAAGAGCTACTCAAGTCTATTGTAATGTATGACTGATATCCGATAAGCTGAGGTGGCGTAACCTGTGCAGCATAAAGTGCTTTGACGGAATCGTTTGTTCTTAGGTTCACGCGCGAGGTGCGAGCTAACCTAACCTATACCTACAGCCAAGAATAAAGGCTCCGAGCATTAATTGGAATGCGACGGAAGCACTTCGACTTTCCGGACTGCCGTGACTATATCTGGAATGACTTCTCTAATCGAGATGAACAACGCACACATATACCGGAGGCACTGTTCAAGTCTCAGGGGCTCGGGTTTGCGTATAGATTATCATTTGCGCCGATACCCGGTTTTCGCTTTGCTAAAATATTTCAACAACTGCCAGTCTTGAACGGGTCAACAAAAGAACTGATCGTTTTCACGTAGTTGGGTTAAAACTATGTGGTTAGGCTACTGTATGGGTGCACTACTAAAACCAATTATAATGACATCTAAAGCGACAATCACTTTCCTGTGTACTTTATCTTGTAAATAACACTTTTGCGATTGACATGTACTTTTGCGCGCGTGCACCGTCGGCAAAAGTCGCACCATTAAATGATCTTCCTTCTTTTTCTTTTCTTTTTTTCTGAGCGAGAAAGAAAAGGGGGGGGGGGGAGAGAAGGTTGTTGAGGGTAAAAAATGTTGGAGATATGTGCTCTGATTGTCATGATTGTGCATTTTTGATCACCCAACCTTTACTGCTCCCACACGAACGCGACGTCCCATGATGTCAACCGCAGAAACAGTTTGATCACTACTCGTACATCAGCCACTGCATTCGGCTTTCAGATTATTGTGTACCTTCGTGCGTGTGTGCGTGCGTGTAACTTTGATATTTGTATCTGATGTTTAGGAGTGCATATCTCGTAATATTTTCTAGATATAGCGTTGAATTTTTTTTTTGTATATTCTTTCCGGAACGGTAAATCATCTAAAAATATCTTTTTACTCGAGTTTTATAACTGAAAATATTTACAACGCTTCAAACGTGCTTCAATGTGAAAAGTTCCCCAACTTCAGCGTGCAATTAAAAAAAAAACTTCGTTTTTCTTTTTTTTTCGAGGAAAATATTTTACACTATATCGCGTGGTGTTCCATTAACATGTTGCATTATTATGTCTCCATGCGAAATGCAGCGCTTCAAAATACACGAACTAGGCAACTTTGACATTTTTACCCAATATTTGTGAGTTGTTATCTGGCAATGTCTTCAAGATATAGCATTGAACTATTTCTGATATTTTCTTCCCAAGAGGGCCTATCACCTACATAAAAATCATTACACTCCCTAATAACTGGACAAATTTACAGTGCGGCAAACAGCTTCCAGGGCCGAACTCGGTACCAAGCAATAACAAAAGTTACAAGTAAAAAAAGAAAAACGATACCGACATTTTCAGAAGCTTTTATTTCTACGCCACATAGTTTTATTGTGTCCAGAGTTTGCGAGCTCAGGCTGAACTCAAGCAGGATTTACCAGTGAACCACTCTAAGCGATCCATTATTCGCAAACACAAAGCAGCGTACTCTGTTACGATCCGTTCTACCTTAAAATGGACCGCAGCGGACGCTACGAGCCATCGGAGGTAAATCAGTTCCGAGTGTGTGACACGTGACATGCGCTGAGTGTGGCACGAGGCCAAATGAAGCGCTCGCAGCGCTGCATTGGCTGGAACGACTTGCAGCGTCCGGTGTGGTCCATCCCTGGGTATACAGAACATAATCTTGTACCAAAGCAGTATGTCTGACTTCTCGGATTACCCAGAAGACATCTCCCAGCAGCTCACAAAAGTGTTATTGTATATTGTCAGAATGTCGAACCGGACAAAACCATTATCACGGAGTACCTTCCGCACAGGACAAGGCGAGGGGTTAAGTGCTCGCTCAAGCGTTGTGAGAGCCAGTCCTTTGAAGACAGGATATAAAGCTACGACCCTCGTGAGCCAATCGGGGCATCGGAGCAAAGCACTTGACGATGTGCCATAGAAACACGATCCTCCCACGGAGAGCTGTCTCGTGCGTCGCTCCCTTGCTCTGATTGGCCAACGGGGATCGTAGCTTTCGCCGTTTACCAAGTTATGGTGAAACGGAGATACACTCAGTCCGTGTAGCTTTTCTATCTGATCGTTTTTTCCGTTCCACGTATTTTTAAACTTCAATGTCACGGTTTGAGCGGAGAACGTAACGTGGCTTTTCGAAGCTACTGGAGAATCCAGTGTATGTCTGTTATCTGTTTCAACGGTCGTTTACTTACAAAAGCAAGCCGGGTCTTCCTGACAGAATAAAGTGCTCCTCGCCGA